CTCATAAAAATATACTGTGCACATTATCAATAAGGAAAAATAAACTCCTTTAAATGCCATGAACGTGCCATAAAAAATATTTTCTTTAAAAAATACATTTTAAAGATATTCTCAAAATCATTCAAGGATCCAATAAAAGTATCAATTAAAAATCTTTAAAAAAAAAGAATTTCCAAAAAAACAGTCATATGAAAAAATAATTTAATCCTACCTGTATTCAGGAAACCAGTGATTTAAAAAGGTAATCCAGTTTCAGCATCAACATGCAAACTGATGAAAACCTTCACCAAAATGTTCTTCAGTCATTCATACTAACATAATATTGTAGTGAAATCACAAAATCCATCCGGGTTGCTCAAAAACTTCCTGCAACAGCACATGAAATTGCAGTATACTTAATTCAGATAAGTTCTGGACCAGAAGATTTTCAAAAGGTCCTCAAGGCTTAAGAATCACAAAACATTAGCCAACAGTTAAAAACCATCTTTATTTAACATTTAAAAAAGAAATCGCATCTTGCAAGAGGCTTAAATGTTTAAACATTAACACACATGAGCTGACGTCGGACATCGGCAATGAACAGGCAAAATAAAGTGAGGAATAAATAGTAAGTCTTGGCAAAAAAGTTCAAATTTTTATCCCTGCACTATGGCGAGCACATATGCATATTGCACAGCAAAGATGATTGCTGCCACTCTCAGCAGTGAGGATTTCCACAGTATACTGAAAGTTCTTGTGGTCTTATATAGGAAATTCTTTGAACATCTGAAATAATGAATAATGTTAAATTTCTTTTACTGAAGCAAAGCAGTAATAGCTTGGTATTTAAAGTCAACACATGATTTTGTTTATATTTCTTAGCTACTTTCTTCTTGTTAGACAGAGTCTACTATTTTTGCTTTATTTTATAAGCTGTTGAAGTATATTATTTATTAGATTTTGGTCTGTCATTACGTAACTACTGAAGTACAAAATGAATAAATGTAAGGGATTATTAGATATACAAGGTAGTATTAGGGTATGCTGTTATGGAAATCAAGCCACACTGTGATTGGTTAGTGCAGTCCCCCATGTGACTGTCCCATGGTTGTTCTTTTAAGAGTAATGCCCTCTGGCTCTTCGTTTGGCAGCCTTAGCTGTGGCTTTTTTCATTCCTCAGTTGCAAAGAATACTGTTATTTTCCACCGAACTGACTTTTTGGCTGCGTTCTGCATCCTTTAGTGTATCAAATAATAATAGGTTCACTTTTAAAATGTAAAAATTGTCCATTTTATGTGTTTAAAATGAACCTCCTATCTTGTAAAGTGATTTCACTAAGAAAGTGCTATCAGTTTCACCCAAGTGCTTTATACATACACAATTAATATTTAGATTAATAATTGAAATTAATACATTTTGAAATCTTATATGTGAAACTTGTAACTTAAACATTATTTTTTAATATTATGTATTACTTTTTTAAGTTTTAGGTTAGTGCTTTAGTTTTTTTTATAAAGTTTTAGGTTACTCTATCATTGACCAATAAATTCTTTGATGCACAGTTGAAGAATTAAATGTATAAATGGGGGGAAGGGTTTTGTGATTTAAACTAACACTGGATAACTTAGATTTTTAAGTATTTTTTAAGTACGTGGCTGTAACTTTTGGTAGTCTTGATTTTGGGACTGGGTAAAAAGCTCTGTGTTATATTGTGTGCAAGTTGATTCTCTGCATATTAATGATGTATTTCAATAACTTTCCTGTTTTTCTAAACTGTATATATGTGTAAGCCATCTCACCTTACCTTTGCTTTAAGTAAATGCACATTATTTTTCATGTGTTTTAGTTGCAGCACTAGTCTTTGAATTGGGTCTCACATTTATAAACTTTATTCTGGAAACAAACTCTGAAAATTTTGGAATGAAGAGTTTAAAAAGAAAAAGAAAATTTATTATTTAAAAATGTTTGAGACCAAAAAATTAGGTTATTTTTAAAAGAAATGTTTTAGACCAAAAAATAACCTCATTTTAATTATACATAATTAGATTTTTTTAGCAAATATAGCAGAGTTTTATTTTCACAAGAGGTTTTAAACCAGTATTCTTACTTTTTTTTTTTTTTTTTTCAACAGGTAATCTGTTTTGAAATGCCTGAAAAGAAAAGCAACTCAGATTCTAATAAGATGCCTTCAAATCAGTGTGGCTGCTGCCCATATGGATTTCATATAGACCGGGATTTTGTGAGGTATTGTGATTCCTTGTACAATACTGCTCAACTGGACAAATTAAGGCAGCACAAAAGGGAGAGAAGAAAAGAAAAGAAAACTGTTGAATCCTACTTAGGACTTGGCAACATCTGCTCTTCACAGTATTCAGAGCCCAACCATACCACTGTAAATCTTCATAATTAATACTTTTCTAGTAAAGATTACATATTCATTTCCTAATACCTGTGTATCCTGGAGTTCTTTAAGATCTCTTTTTTTGAGGGAGGTGTATTTACATTTTATTGTATTAGAAATTGATTATTTTGTATTACTGCTTTGTTAAAATTCTAAATTTTCCTATGCTTCTGTAGTTCCCCCCTGCAGTTCTATGAAATTATACTCTTGTATAATGGATAAATCCCCCCTTTTTTTTAAAGGAGGGGGGGGAACATTTTCTGAATAAAGATTTAAGTGAATAATTTTTGTAGAACCTCCAGAATTTTATTTAAAATGTAATGATTGCTTTTAATACAAAAATAAGTTGATCCAAAACTTCTTTTTGAATTTCTCCAAACTCTCAACAACGCAGAATTTCTCATCTGCTTGTGTATATTGATGTTATGAGGTATTTTTTCTGTTCTCTCCGCATGCTTTTATGGTGTAATTGGGAGCATACTCGCAACATATTCAGGAGGTCCAAAGCTCGAATCCTGGTGAGGGCATTGCTCATTTTTCATGTCTAGAGCATCAAAACCACTAATGATTGTACACTCATGTCCATAAATTAAGGATAATTCAGAGTCACGCGGAAATCGAACTCTAAAATAAATATATCACCTGTAAAATCACTACACACATCTTCAAGAATCATATGCAAATTTCAGGAAGTAACCAGATGACACTGATGGTACGTCACAATGACGAGAGTGTAAGAGAGTGATATATAAGGAATACAGGCAAAGAAGTAAAATTGTTCGCAGACATTTATAAAGCATTTTCAGTGCAATAACCGAATAGTTATGACACAAAGGACGCATTTGGATTTTTTTACGTGGTAGAATTATCGGCCGTCTGGAATGTGGGCGTACCCAACTGGAAGTATCAGATGAACTTGGAATTGCCCAGAGTGTCATCTCCAGGCTTTGGAACGATTCCAAGTGATGAAGTGGAGTAGTAGACGTTACAGCACAGGTCGCCCCAGAGTTACAATGCCGAATGAGGACCGGTATTTGGCAGTTACTGCCAAAAGAACAGGCAGAGCACAGCCTCAGACCTGTCTCATCAGCTCTCTTAAGCCACTGGTACGACAATTTCAAGGCAGACCATGTAGACACTTAGGGCAGATTGGTTCTATATGCTCGTAGACCTGTCAGATGCATTCCACTTACTGCAACTCACTGTCCCCTGCGGTTAGCGTGGAGTAGAGAGCATGCATTGTGGACACCGCAACAGTGGACTTGTGTGATGTTTTCCGACGAGTCCAGGTTTAGCTTGCAGTCTGATTCGCACCGGACTTTCTTATGGAGAGCTCCAGGTACCCGTTACCACCAAGAAAACATTTAACGACACCGTTACGATGGTGCAGGAGTGCTCGTTTGGGGTGGAATTATTCTGGGTTCCAGAACTGACCTGCATGTTCAAATTGGAACCATGACAAGCCAAATCCATCGGGACGTCATTCTGGAACAACATGTACGTTTGTTTCGGGGCACTATGGGCGCACAATTTGTGTTTATGGATGACAATGCCTGTCCTCACCGTGCAAACATCGTAAGTGAATGCCTTCAATCGGAGGATATCACCCATATTGACTGGCCAGCATTCTCACCGGACTTGAATCCAGTAGAGCACGTGTGGGACATACTTGCCGACGAGTTGCAGCCCGTCAACCTCCTCCTACAAGTCTTCCGGAACTTCAGAGAGCATTGCTTTTTGAGTGGTGTAATATCCCCCAAGATCAGATCGATAATTTGATACTCAGCATGCCTAGGCGTTGTACGGACTGTATTGCATTGTCTGGGAGACATACAATGTATTAACAATCATACCAACCATGTAATATTGGTTTTTGTAAATAGGTTTTTTTTTTTGTTTTTTTTTTGTAATTTGCTCCAGGGAGAAAAAATCGCTAATTTTTTTAATAATATCAAACATATAGCATCTTTTTTTTGCTCTTTACCTTTTGTTTAATAAATAAGCTTTACAAATAAGTCAAATTTGTTTTGCTTCTAACTCTTCCTTTGCCTGATTTTGCATTATCCTTAATTTATGGACATGTGCAATGTATTAGCCAAATTTAAATAATCACATAATTTATTCTTTGTTCTGAAAATCTTCTGTTTATTAGGATGAAATTATTTTAAATAGCAAAGTAATATGCATCAAGTGATAACAGATCTCATGAATGAATAAAAATGATCATGCTACTCAGTTAATATATTGAGAAATGCTTTTATGTAAAACTTTTATCTTTCTCTGCAGGTTCGTCAACATAATACTTTACCCAATGATTTCTACTTAAATAGTGAAAGTTTGAAAGATGCTGTAACAGATTTTGAAGACACCTGGCAAAGAAGTTTGAAAAAGAGTTCCAGTAGTTTTGCTGTTTCTGAAAAGCGAAATGGCTTCAAAGTTAGCAAGGATTTAGCTACTTGTGAAACATCTGCCATAACATGTGCCTCTATGGAAAATAAAGAACTGTATACAACTACGTTTCCTGCTGTTCAGTCTCGTAGTAGTTCCATGAGCTCTGTGTCTTCAACAGCCAGTATTTTAGGACCTATGCCTGATGTATGTATACTGTTGCATATCTTTCTGACTGGGATATCTGTTATGCTTATTACTTTAAAAAATTAATTCCAATTTTTTGCAATTTATTTTATAAAGTCATATGAATCAATGTTATTAACATTTATTTATTAGCAAAATAAATCTGAGAACTTCATTTTGAATTTAATATTTAAGTAACGAAATATGCTAGCAGAAATTATGCATTTTTGCTCTTTAAATATCAGAAACGAGAGAATTTTTCATCTACTAATAAGTATATTGATCGAGAGTTTCATTATTCTTAATTCCAGGCTTCACGTATTTCTTGTATGTCTGACCAGATGACTGCTGCAATAGCCACCTTATCAAAGCCCATTTCTAGTTCTTCCAATACAGTTGGAATTCATAGGTCTGTACTTACTAACATAAGAGCTCAAATGGCTTCTAGCTTACACCGAATGCGGGAATTGGAAGAGCAAGTAAAATCTATTCCTATTTTGGAGGTAACTCAGACATACTTTGCTTCTTTTCTATCTCTATCTCAATTTTTTTTATATATATATTGAAAGATCACATGGTTATTTCCTTTATATTTGTTAAATCTGCAGTCTTTACTAGTTAGTTACTTGCTCATAATCCATAGAATATGTTAGCTCTTAAATATTAATATATTTATTTATAACATAGCTTCATAAAGTAAGGTCTAATTATAAAAATGTTTTCTGTGATATGATATTGTCACTAAAGTGACAAGACCAGTCAAGTCATTTTGCATAAAGTAGAAAATTTTAGACTATCTTTAATTAAAAAAATTAACATGTTACAATGCATATCTTCAATTTTGAGAATTAGTGAAATGTTAATTGGGAAAGTGAGGTATGATTACATGATGTACCATTTCAAGATTCTTTAGGAGTATATAGAATTTCTGTATTCATATCACATTGTTTAAATTATATTTTATGATTGTTTTATACTTATTATTTATGCTGTATCTTTAAGTGTGTAACATAAAGGCTTGTAAACATAAGTAAAAATTGGACATAAAAATATGTAGTTATGAACTGTATGCAAGTACTGCAGGTTTGGAAAATGTGAAAATGAATGTTTGGCACTTTTTGATTTAATAAATTTTTAGGAAAATCAAAAAGGCTATTTATTTTAAAATTTACTTTAAAGTACTGAAGATACATGTTTATTCTTTTTTCATCTTTATGTTTTCTGGATTTTACATGCATGCATATAATTCATAGCTTTTATAATACTTATATTGCTAGAGGAGGTTTGTTGAAATGAGATACCATTAGTACATTTAACCCGCATAACCAATTATTATCTTGTTGAAAGATGATCCTGGCTGATGGAAAATCATTGGTAGTATAATAAGTTGCAGAATATTGGTAATGTTTTTTGGAAAGACCATTAAATTGCTGCAAATAGTCAAAAGAATCTTGCATGTGTAAATTATGTGACCTTCCTTAAATGTGAACTTTGTATACTGCAATACAATGATGTGAGCTCAGACGCATTGGTTAAGCCTTTCCTACGCAAGTTTTGCAGTTACCGAGTTAAGCAAAATTCATGATTTATTGGTGAGTACAATATAACTAAAATCCTATACATTCCAAATGAACCAGCATGAGACAGATGACCATTTAATACAGGCAAGTTGACCTGGATTTCACTATTGGCTACTGTATGGTATTTTTTCCACATGTAATATAAATACAAATAATTTCTTGAAGGCAAGTAGCCCTTGCATGGCTTAGCCTTAATCAGTCAACCAACCCATATATATTCCATGCTTCAGTTGATAGATGTAACTGTTGATAAATATATATCAAAAGATATTGCTATTTGTTCTATTATTAGGGATTCATCATCGTGCTTGGCCTCATATGTTTTGCCATAACTGATGGAACAAACAACTAATAAATAATTCATCATGACAGTCCTGCATCCAGGGCTTGCAAGTTCCTGATTCTGAATGCATGATGTTGAAGCTTTGAATGTGCTGTTGGCAGCTTTCACTATTGTACAATGCATCTAACTAGGTATCTTTCTAAATCTGCTGCTGCCGTCAAAATAGTTGTCCAGACAAAAGTATTAGTAATAAAATTATCTTACTGTGTGATCATACCACTTGATATGCTGAGTAATTTAATGATGTAACCAGTCCACTTTTATAGGTTAATGAAATAAACTGCTGTCAGATTTACTCTTATTTGTACTGTCATTAGGTGCATCTTGGAATATTGTACTTTGCTAGTACAGTCAAATACCGAAAATCTGCCGACCTGAAATCCACCAACTCCTAAAATCCACGAAGCCTCTTAAAATATAAACATAACATTCAGTTTATAGGTTCCGGAAACCGCAACATTGAGTACAAAATATTGAAGAAAAAATATTGACCAAATAATGATGTCATAATTACCGAATAATAATGACTCATAATGGAAATACCAAATTATTGACATCAAAATAAAATTTTTTTCCCTCTAATCTGCATCGAGGTAAAAAAGCAGATGATTCACTCAAACTCTTCTTTCAAGTTCACGATTCACGTTGTTGTGTTTTCTGAGCTTTGTTATTTCACGAGATTATTTAGTGCTGCCTTTTCTTTATCTGGATATTTTGTGGATAAATTAAGAATATTTTAAATTTCAGCCCTTTTTAATACAATGACAGAAAAGAAATGCACTCGTGATTTTTCTGCTTGCAACCTTGAAAAACCTAAACACATTGCATTGATGGTAATGCAAAAAGTGCAAATTCTGCAAAAGATGAGGGCAGGTTCCACTGCTCGATTAATAGCAGAATCATACGGAATTGCGACATGACTTTGTATGTTATACGAAAAATAAAGAAAAGCTGTTGAAATTTTACAGCAACAGTGATTCTAACACCGGAATCCGAACCGGAAATCTTAGCATGAAGCAAAATCGGCAAACCTGGATGCTGTGTACATATAATACAGTCAATTTATATATGCAATAATAATTTAATGCATATAATAAATTATTGCAATAATGTATGTAATAATTTAATTAAATGTATCTAATACACCTTATTTATTTTGCACTTATTTACAGTCTGAATATTATGATTTATCTTTTCTGTCCTGAAATCCACAAAATCCAAAAATCCGCACAACCTCTGATCCCAAGCTTTGTGGATTTCTGGACTTTTACTGTACAAGCATTACCACAACAATCCTAGCCTGTATAATAGGTGAACTGTTCGCTTTATGCACTGCCCTCCAAAAGTTAAGGAACAGTATGTTTTTCAAAGCTTACCATTACAAAAATGTCGCTAATGTTTAACTGCACAGTTTATATGCATGACGGTAACGAAGCGTAAGAAAATATATGCAGAGCAATAGCTACCATGTTTTTTTTTATAGAAATGACTGCTTATAGGAGTTTATATAGGAGTTGGAGGAAAAAATGCAAAAATTGTAGCTTCAGTTGTTATTACAGTTTCTTGGACAGTATCCAGGAGAGCCTATCAATGTCCAGGAGAAGTCATTTGTCCAATTCATTGAGGTGGCAGGCAATCGGATGGATGGAATCGGATGGGAATGTCAGAGGTTAATGCTGCTAAATGTCTCTATGTCTCTCGTAGTCTGTATTGGTCCACCGACTATGGAATCAGTTTGTATCCGAGGGTTCTGTGTCTAGAAAACATGTTTCAGGAAGACCTAGAGTTAGACCATTATTTAGCTCTTTCGGCCCAAAGGAGAAGTAACATTACTGTGCCTCAGCTCATGGCAGATAATTTAGTGGCAACAGGAACAAGAATCTCAGCTAATATAGTGCACAGGTGCCTGCGCAATACAGGTCTGTATGCTATATCACCATTTGTTTGTGTCTCCTTGACCTGAGGAAACATAGGTGCCCGTTTATGTTGGGCAAGAGAATGCATCTCCTGGACCAGTCAACAATGGGTGTCTGTTCTTTTCACAGATAAGTCCAGGTTCACATTGGAAAGTGAGTCAGGTCGTCAGAGGATCTGGAGGGAACAACCACCCATATATTCCACATTGAAGCATGAAATATATGGGTTAATTGAGTGACTATGGCTAAGCCATACAACGGCTACCTGCCTTCAGGAAATGTTTTTTATTTATATTTCATGTGGAAAAAATACCATACATATACAACCAATCCCACATTGTGGAAAGGCAGAGTTAGAGAGGTGGTGGAATAATGGTTTGGGCTGGGATCTCTCTCGGCGGTCACACTGACTTGCATGTGTTCCATGGAGGAACTTTGACTGATATAAGATATCAAGACGAGATCCTTGATCAGTATGTCCGCCCAGATACTGCTGTTATTGGTCCTGGATTTCTTCTGATGGATGACAGTGCACAACTGCACTGAGCTCAGGTTGCTGAAGAATATCTTGAGGTTCATGGTATGGAGCGGATGGATTGACCAGCTCAATCCCCTGACCTGAATCCGATAGAGCATATTTGGGACTGCCTTATGAGACAGATTGCTGGTTTAAGTCCTCCTTGAAGGTCGTTAGATGAGCTTGAACAAGGATTATTCCGTGTATGGTTGTTGCTTCTCATTTCACTGACCAACAACTTAATTGACAGAATGGAATGTTGTTGCTGCCAATGTATTGCAGCTAGGGGGTGGACACATTCCTTATTAGAACCCATTTTTGTAATGTTACCACCCAATTTTCTCTAAAAATACTGTGATATACCGTTTCTCCAAGGATTTCTTTGCCAAGAGTGCAATATTTTGTTGTAATTCATGTTTGTGTTGAACTGTAGAAACATTCTATATCACATTTATTAAAGAACTATTTAGTGGACATGTCTTTTAAATTTCTTGTTTCTGTGTTATTTTATTCTTAAAACATACAGAAAAAACATGCTATTCCTGAATTTCTGGAGAGCAGTGTATTTGACATGCATGTTTTCTGTATTAGACTAATAGCTACTCAGGTATATGTTTTCACAGTTTTTCAACAAATTATGTATGGTGTGACTTTGTTTCTTGCCCCTTATCTTCTCCCTTTTTATGTTTCAGAGTGTATATAAGTCTTTATCATAATATATTGACAAATATCAAGTGATCCTAACATCTATATATATTGAATTTTGCAATATAATTTTCAGTTTGACATAATATGCACAATAAAAGTATCTTTCTAGAAATTTTTAAATTTTTATTTATTTATTATTTTCCAGATAAAATTGTCTGCTTTAAAGGAAGAAAAGAACTCATTATTGAATCAGTTAAAATTAAAAGAAAGCAAGTTACAAAACAAGAAGTCTGTAAATTCTGATGGAGATCTTGAAAAACAGTTGAAGAGGTTGGAAAATGAAGGTATCATGTCTCCAACATTAACAAAAAAGTGCCTCTTGTCTAGGAGCCATGTGGATAATTTGTCATCCCCTGTAATTGCATCTTGTATAGATGCTGCAATGGCAAAGAAAAGTTTTCTTGAAAAGGAAATAATTTCTCATATAAAAATGTGTGACATCAATAGTGGTATAGAAAAATGTAAAAATATGAAAAGTGTAGGCACTTCGTGCTCAGTTTTAACAAGAGATATTGGAATAGGTTATGTTCCTAATAAAAGTAAATCCATTGGTGTTGGAAATGAAGCATCATTTATTTATTCTCTCTATTCTTGTAATGAAAAAAAGTATGACCAGTTAACTAGTATATCATCAGAATCTCTTGAAAGTGATTCTGAATCTGTAAATGGCTCTTTTGATCATGCTAGATTGTTCCTTCAACAAAGAAATCTGAAATCTCTTGTTGTGAGTCCAATAAAATCTGACTGTCCTAATGTAGGTTTAAAAGATTCATCAACTAGTACAGATGTCATTTATTTGAATAAATCTGTTAATACTGAGCTGCTTCTTCCTAAATTTATACTAAATAACTCTACATTTCAAAATAAAAGTACCTTAATTTCTCCTTCAGTGAGGACAAAAGCTGTACAAGCAGTTGAGAAGAAAGCTGTTCGAACTATTGGTTTGCAGATTTCAGGATCTGTAAATGTAGATAGAGAAGTGGAGAAGGCATTTAATCAGAATCAAATTTTAAAACATAGTGTAGCTGTAGGCGATTTTAACATTCTTGATACAATCTGTGCACTTTGTTTGAAAGCAAAAACATCTGTTGGTGTAGGAGACTCTGATATCAATATTTCATTCTGTGATAGATGCCGCTTAGTTAAAACCGTTTCCACATCTTGTGGTGAAGCATCGATATATGATGTCTGTGATAAATGTTCTATTCATCAGAAAGAAAATGCTGCTGTTGGGGACTTTGATGTTAATGATGTAAGCTGTGAACAGTGTCAAAATAATAGTATTCAGCGAAATGAAATGCAGTCAGTTGGAATCAATACAACTATTGATTCTTCTAGTCATTTGAATCTAAGTTCTGGCATACATATATGCGACAAATGTAGTGCAACAATTCACTCTGTTGCCAAAGATTTGGCTACTAACACTGTTGATTCAAAAATTCCTAAACTTAAGCTGAATATTCGTTCTTCAGATGTACCAAGTGAGACAAAAAGAGCAAGTTTTAGAACAAAATTCACAAAAACTCAGAAACATACTTCTAAAAGCATTCATGTTTCTTCAAGCGATGACACTGAAGTGGAATCCGTAGTTAACAGGTAATTTCCTTATCTGTGCATTAAATTGTTAGAAAAACACATGCCTATTAAAAACATTTTTTTATAGTTATATCCAGCTGTACGTATTCAGTATCAATACTGTATTTTATTCAGATGTCATATTGATAGAATTTTTGTACTGGCATATTTTTTTTATTTTTAACTTTCTGTATCTTATCAGTGGCTTTTTTATCTGAAGGATCTTTTTCATTACAGTAAAATTTGGTAATTTTTCTAAGCATGAGAAATATGTCATTAGGTTACTTATGTCAGTGAGCAAGAAATTAAAATAGAATTAACAACTTTAAAACCTTGAATTGACCATACTTTGAAAATAAGAGCAGTTTTTAGAAAGAATGCATTTAATTTAAAGATAGTTAGTAGGTGAATATATCAGTTAATATTTGTTCAAATGGGTAAACCTTTATTCTGGCATATCCACATGAATTCACATAAATAAGATTCAAAAGTACATCTAAAAATATCAAACCGTATTTATCTCTCTGTGGAAAGTTATTTGGCGTATATTGTAATGGAGGCAGGTCCAATCTGGATGGGCTCCTTATAAACCCTTCTTAATTTAGCAGCTGGTTATTTATTTCTTATTTATTTATTTGGTACCATCTGATTATCTGTCTCTCCATTAAAAGTTGTCAACTGATTGGTAATTTTGTGAATGATGAAATTCATTTATTTGGCTATCTTTACCACTCAGAGATAGTGCTGGGTTCATAAAAAGTAATAAAAAATCATTTTATGAGGAGGAAACGTTCTGTGGGTACTTTTTCATTTCGCCAGCACAAATCTTGCCAAGCAAACTTTGTTGGCGACAGCATACAGTATACACATAAAAAAATTTTAACAAATGTTAGTTCTAAGAATTTTTAATTTTGAAGGCATAAACATTTTAATATAGCTTAAAATTTTGTAAAAAGTGAATAAATAAAGACAATAATTTAAAATTTACTGCGCTTTCATGGTTCAACATCTTGATTCGTCAGTTCGTATCATGTGATCTCATTTCAAGTAAACTATGCTATAAAAAAACTAATTCTCTCAGTAATTATCTACATTAATTTCAAGTTAAATCTTAATATAGAATACAAGTTTAAATGCAAGAATTATTTCAATTCGTACGAATATCTTACTCAGAAATTATGTAAAACCGCATTGCTTTATTTCGCTAGTGTATTCTCATTAGAATTGATGAATTTAACCCTTGATTTTGCCTTTTCTATATTTTCACCTTCCGGTGAGCGGTGTGATTGCATCCTAATTGACTTAATTACCCGAACAGTGTTAGGGAATAAAATTTAACTGTCTTGTAAAAATTGTATAATTGTATGCCAGTATTGAAAGAAACAATCAGTCCGATAAGAAATGGCTGCAACTTGTTTTAAAAATGAAGCATAAAAGGTTACAAGCGATGATATTCCATTTGGCATCAGTTGTACCATTATTGGCAACTTTATCATTTGCACCAGCAAAACAGAAAAGTACTAATATTTTCATTTTTACTGTTGGTAGATACTGTTTAGCAAAATGAACACTTTAACCCTTTGGAGGTGCAGTATATAATATAATTTAAATTGTGGTAACATTTTGCATGAATTGTAACTTATGGACCCAAAGAACACAAAATTGAGACTTGAAAAAGTCTAGAGTGAAATCCTGAATTTTGAGGGTAGGTATAAATTTTTTACCGGTGCTCCCTCTAAGACTTCACCTCCCCCCAGGTAGCTGCCAATTGTTAATTTTTGTTTTATTATATTTTTGATATGCATCTATAGAAATGGGAAAGAAAAATATTTAAAATTTTTTCTAAAGAAATTTTATAAGTCAAAAACTTTTTAAATTTCTTTAGAAATTTGGAATTTTAAAAATAAATTTGTTTTTATGCATTTCAATGATGCCATCCAACTGAACATAACTTATGTAAAATGCTTTTAAAAGTAATTTAAATTCAAAATTATTATTTTATGAAAACAATGTCAAATATGACACTCCATGTGTAAACCGTATTATGTTGTAATTGAACTAGTGTAATGTTACAAGGAAATGAAACTCGGGTGAAAAATAAAAAAACTGAAAAATTAAACACTACATCTCAGCTGAAAAATTATGTTGCATTTTTTAAATTATTTTATGTGTTACATAATACAGAACAAAGTCCAAAGTCCGGACTCGTTGGGACTTCGGCGATTTCGGATTTGGAATTTTTTTGGATATTAGATCATCAGTTTAAATCTAATAAGATGGCATGTAGAAGTTATAAATTAAAAATACGAAATTGTGATTTATGAAATAATGAAGTATTTATGATCTAAAGGGTATCAAAATTTACAAAAAAAATAACTTAATATTTATTTGTTTACCTTATTAACCTCTTTGTCGTCCGTAATGCATCTAGCGCGTTCAAATGAAACTTCAGGGCGACCGTAACGTGCTACAAGCATTTTTCAACATTTAAAATTTTTTAAACGTTTAAAACGCTTTCTAAATGTTTTCTTTTGAGTTTTTATTTTTGTTTTTTCTAATACCTCTTAGAGGGCAGCACTAATCAAGCATTCTATTTCTAATTCAATTTGCCCCGGGTTTTATGAATATTCGCACCATTTTACATAAGATACAAGACAGTGAGAGATGGCTTCAACATCTACTCAGCAGAAAAAGAGGAAAAATGAGGTTGTGAATTAGAAAGACAAGAAGAATATACGTTTGATAAGTACAGTCCATAATAGCTCGATGATTGATGTTGGAACACGGAAAAGAATAAAAAAAAAACCAATAATTGTAAAAGATTACAACAAATTGGGAGGAGTGGACTGCTGGAACAGATGTTATCAAATTATCCTGCTGTTAGAAATAAGCAGAGTTACTATTTTTCCATTGTGCTTTATTTCCGTATAATTTTACTTAATATTCATTGACATTTATCCACTACAAAAGTTGTGTATGGAAAGTTATGATGTACAGAGAAAACAACATTACACGCTACAAAAAACAGACGGCTGCTGAGGAGAAATTTTCGCAGACAGGAGAGGACGACGAAAGGGTTAAACATTTCTTTCAAAGTACGTTGTTTCAGTTGCTTTGTTTTTTGTGCTAATATTTTCTCTTTAATTCTGTAGACAGACATAATCTCTTGTTTAGTTACATTGTTAAAGTTCTGTAACTGCTGTGTCGAGAATTCCGACTAACTTGTTAATTGAAATTTTTTCGTTTTCGGTAACTTCTCTGACACTTTCTTCACTATCGGTAGCAGTATTTTCTGGAACTAGAACCATACTACAGATTTTGCCATTCATTAATTGATTGATGATTAAGAAGCATTGTTATCACAATGAAAAACTTCTTTTATATCATCTTCATTTATTACTGCTTCTCCACATTCCTTTACAAAATCTATTAATTAGAAAATTTCACCTTTGTTTTGCGATGTCCGAAAACCTTTAAAATTTGCAACTATCATCATCAAATTTACCTACCGTTTACTATACATATTTCGCTGTGCATCATGAGCTTGGCGATTAACGACAAGTTGTTCTGTTAACTTTTATCTTGTTTCTATCGTGCACTGAGACAGTTAAGCCTAAATTGTATTAGTTTAGTTATTTATTGTACTTATGTCTATTTCTTGCACATGCTTAAGGCTTATCAGAGTTCTGAAAAAATAAATTCTCACATATACTTAAACCTTATTGAGGGCTGGCGCTAGATATCTGCCCAACAGATGCAGTTTCTGTGGGTCCTAAATTCTGCGACCCCGTGCCGCCATAAGAGCCCTGGCACAGGTTCTGGGTTTATGTGAATAAACAAATCAGTTATTCTTAATTCAAATAGCCTTAAATGTAATCTTTGGGTCTATGAGTATCATCAACGAAATCTATTTTTAGCATATGGAAAGAAATTTTTGTTAAATTTTTCCTTTTCAACATTTTTTAGTTCATTTAACTCAAATCTGTAATCATCGCCAAGCGTCATGTCAACATAAAAGGTTACCATACTCCTTTGTTATTCAATTACTAACATAAAAAAAAAATGTTTAGGTATTGCTACATCAGTCATTACTTAAGTTGTCATGTATTAATAGAAAGGAAGTGTAATAAATAATGATTCACCAACCTGGTGAATACTCCTTTGTTATTCAATTGCTAACATAAAAAAAAAATTGTTTACGTATTGCTACATCAGTCATTACTTAAGTTGTCATGTATTAATAGAAAGGAAGTGTAATAAATAATGATTCATTATTTATTACACTTCCTTTTAATCAGGATGGCGTCAGTTCAACGATGTATCTATGTGGAATGTTTTGGTTTGAGATATGTGCCGAAGCAGATATGCAGCAACAGAGCCAAATTATTGATTGTACAAATATATGCTAAAATGATTGTTTCTTAAATAACAAGGTACTTTATTTAGTGTTGAAGTGAAATTATGAGAAAAACTTTTGGTGGTTTTGAGGTCCGGATTTTAGATCATTCCGGATAACGGACGTCTGGATTTCGGACTTTGTAGTGTATATAAAAAGAGCATGTTTCATGCCATGATAGCAAGAATCACCCCCCGACACTTTCAATTATTGGGCCTCTTTTTAATTTTTTGTAAATATAGGTTGTAATACATCATTTTGTTCAGAAAGAAAAGCTGCTAAATGATTTTATTATTTGATACATCTCAGCCCTTATTTCAATCAAAACTAAAAAACTCAAATATTTGCCTTTTTTTTTTCTTTCAAAGGTAAATGTTTTGCATCTAAAACTGGCATTAGAAATAATTTCCCTCCTTTCACAAGCTGTGAAAAATTATTTAAAAAACTACTTACTTGTATCCTGAGCCAGGGAAAAAATTTCTTTTGTGTTCCCTAGTTTCTCATCTGAAATTGACTAAGACAGTACTCCAGAACATAAAAGCATGCTTTCAAATCAGCAGTTTTTCCATTCCACTAAGAGACAGACCTGAAGTGCATTTCTGTTTCAATTGTAAGTGAGCTTTCC